GACTATAGACTAGACTATAGACTAGACTAGAGACTAGACTATAGGGACTAGACCTATAGACTAGACTATAGACTAGACTATAGACTAGACTATAGACTAGACTATAGACTAGACTATAGACTAGACTATAGACTAGACTATAGACTAGACTATAGACTAGACTATAGACTAGACTATAGACTAGACTATAGACTAGACTATAGACTAGACTATAGACTAGACTATAGACTAGACTATAGACTAGACTATAGACTAGACTATAGACTAGACTATAGACTAGACTATAGACTAGACTATAGACTAGACTATAGACTAGACTATAGACTAGACTATAGACTAGACTATAGACTAGACTACAGACTAGACTATAGACTAGACTATAGACTAGACTATAGACTAGACTACAGACTAGACTATAGACTAGACTATAGACTAGACTATAGATTAGACTATAGATTAGACTATAGACTAGACTATAGACCAGACTATAGACTAGATTAGACTATAGATTAGACTATAGACTAGACTATAGACTAGACTATAGACTAGACTATAGACTGGACTATAGACTAGACTATAGACTAGACTATAGACTAGACTATAGACTAGACTATAGACTAGACTATAGACTAGACTATAGACTATACTATAGACTAGACTATAGACTAGACTATAGACTAGACTATAGACTAGACTATAGACTAGACTATAGACTATACTATAGACTAGACTACACTATAGACTAGACTATAGACTAGACTGTATACTAGACTATAGACTAGACTATAGACTAGACTATAGACTAGACTATAGACTAGACTATAGACTAGACTATAGACTAGACTATAGACTAGACTATAGACTAGACTATAGACTAGACTATAGACTAGACTAGACTAGACTATAGACTAGACTATAGACTAGACTATAGACTAGACTATAGACTAGACTATAGACTAGACTATAGACTAGACTATAGACTAGACTATAGACTAGACTATAGACTAGACTATAGACTAGACTATAGACTAGACTATAGACTAGACTATAGACTAGACTATAGACTAGACTATAGACTAGACTATAGACTAGACTATAGACTAGACTAGTCTAGTCTATAGTCTAGTCTATAGACTAGATTATAGACTAGACTATAGACTAGATTATAGACTAGACTATAGACTAGACTATAGACTAGACTATAGACTAGAATATAGACTAGACTATAGACTAGACTATAGACTAGACTATAGACTAGACTATAGACTAGACTATAGACTAGACTATAGAATAGGCTATATTTTAGACTATAGTTTAGACTATAGACTGGACTATAGTTTAGACTATAGACTGGACTATAGACTAGACTATAAACCGATTTATCGCTAGACTATAGATTAGACCATATACTAGACTTTAGAATAGACTGTAGACTAGAATATAGACTATGGACTATACTATAGACTAGACTATACACTAGACTATACACTAGACCAGCGGTTCCCACCGATTTTTACTTCGCGGACCCCTTGAAGAACTTATTTAATTTCGCGGACCCCCATACATATTTTTATATCTTATTGTTCTAAATAATTGTCCATCCGAAAATTGACCTAGTTCATTAATCCCTAGGTCTAATAAATGTAGAGATGTCATATCTATAAAATATTCCCGTACATTGAGAATATATAATATTTCAGATAGGTTTTCAATTGCATGTTTTGAAGATAGAATGACTTCTTTGTTGATATGTTAACATGATGTTTAATTTTATGATCGTGAGATCTTTCATGTTCATTTTTCTTCAAGGTAGCGAAAAGGTTTCTTTATCAAATATTGTCACATGTGCTTAAGGAGTCACGTTTCAAAAATTTGTTGCGATTGCAAAGGGTGAACTGAGTAAGTGAGCTAAGTTTTCGGGAAAATAATATAAGAAAGTTGGACTTCTTCTATGTTGTTGCGGAATGCGTTATCCGCATATTATATGATTTGAACTCTTTGTTAAAGTACTGTGAATTTGGAACTTAAATTTGAATTTTAAAATACCAACGAATTATTTTACTTCATGGTTTTTGGCTACATATTTCCTCGAAACGCTATGGATTTTCTGATGTTAATTTAATAATATGTATTGGTCGACAAAATCAAGTTAAAATCTGTGTATCACGTCGGATTGGAATATTTATAAAGAGATGCATAAAGAGTCACCTCTGTTTTGGAAATATATAATTTTAGTCCTTTCAAACAAGAACACTTTTGCTTACAATTTGACAAACTTAAATCTGTAATAAAAATAAAAATTACAAATCACGCAATACTTTACTTTATAAAAGTTATACAATAAATTTGTAGGGCCTAGCTTCTTCCTGATAAACAACAAAAAAATAAAAAGTCAAAAAGTCACCAAAAAATTTGGGATTATTGCACAAAAATTGGAGATATTTGTACATACATATAAAAGCAGAATACTTTTTATTCATGGTTTTTTTCGTTCGTCTTCGCGGACCCCCTAGGATTTTTGCACTAGACTATACACTAGACTGTAGACTACACTATACACTAGACCATAGACAGGACCATAGACTAGACTATAGAGGAGACTATAGACTAGACTATACACTAGACTATAGATTAGACTATACACTACACCATAGACTGGACTCTAGACTAGACTATAAACTAGACTATATACTAGACAATAGACTAGACTGTAATCTATACTAAGTATACTACAGACCAGTGATGCCAAGTGTAGGGATTTTTCCCTTTTTGTAGGGATTTTTTTCAAAATTTTCACGTGTAGGTAAAAAGGGAAAGATTTCTTACTATTGTCAAATTGTAGGGATTTTTCAATTTCATAGTTTTTAACAACTAAAAATATACCCTCTCATGTATTAAACTTTAAAACTAAAAATGAAATCAGTTTTAAGTGTATCGTTAGTAAAAATTCCGCTTGTAATTTCTACAATATATGTACCTACATATCTCTACAAGACTGGCATAATCCAAAATTCGGGTTTCTTGAACTGAGGTCTACAAAACATGCGACATACTAAAATCTTTCATATAGATTTAATGTTCTGAAAATTTATAAAAGTAAACCGCAAAAAGTAAACGCAAAAGTAAACCTTATTTAAAATAATTATTTTATGAAAATTATTTTGTTGGGGGCACATAAAATAAATTTTTAACATCGAATCGTGATACTGGCATAAATCTTTCAATTGTCTTGGTTTTTTAATCTTAACTGAAGAGTCAGGGTTGGAAGATTTGTATGATGTAAAATTGAAAGAAAAAAAATTTAAAATTTAAATTCTAGAAATTTTATTCCTAAAATTAAAAAAATACATATATATGTATATATGTATATTATAAAACGGAGCTAATATTTTAGTTTTTTATGTTATTTTTGTATTTTTTTAAGATAAACTTGGAAAAAAGTAGTGTAGGGAAAAATGTAGGGAAAATAAAAAATGCGTGTAGGGAAAAAAGGGATTTTTTCTCATAAGCGTAGGGATTTCTGAAAAAAATCTCCTGGCATCACTGCTACAGACTGGTCTATTTACTCCTATGAGGACTACTTATCAAAAGTTTATAAGTTAGAAAAAGTACCCAAAATGTCCACGGTATTTTTGAATATCAAAAACTACTGATAAAAGTACTAAAGTACTGAATTTTCCATGCTTGTATTGAAAAGTGAATACTTTCTCTCAAATATATGTCTCACATGCGAATTTTTTTTATAAACGTGTGAAGGTTTTAATTTAGAATTATTGTATACATCTAGTTTATTACACATTTTTATATAGATTTTTAAAAATTACTTCATAAATACTTAAAAGTGCATTGAAATTCCATTTAATATTAAATACTACATAGTAGCCATAAGTTATGAACTAAATTAGCACAATTCAATATGAAATAATAAGAATAATTTTCAAGGTCGTGACTATAAATATGCAAAAAAATATGAACTTGTTTACGACGACGATCGAGCTACCTATTTATACCTTCAATTGAATGAAGAGAAATTGAATGCACTTTAATTAGTAACAATATATGAGGAGAGTACTTAAATAGAAATAAATTATAAAGAAATTAAACTATACAATAAATTATAAATGGAAATAATTGCTATAGTAAATTAGCGCTGATCGTCGTCATATTTGTCTACATCTGGTTTAGCTAAAATAGCATCACTTGTCGGACTGTCGCGACAGTTGTCAATTTTGTATTAGTTAAACTCTATAGGAAAGTTAATACAATGTACTCTAGACATGGGAACATATTTCCATTACAAATTAGTAAAAATTAGGTTATGTGTATAGCAATTTAGAGCAAACGGGAAGTAAATAATTTTGTAAAGGTGATCTCTCAATGACATTGATATTAAATATGTTAACATTTAAAGTAAAAGTTTACATTTAAAAAAAAATACGAAATTAAATTTTGAACAAAAAATACTTCAAATAACATTAATTTGAAACTATTTTCCAAAGCTACGTAATACAAGAGTGCTACGTGTTTAAGGGCTTTCTTTACTAACTACGTAAAAAGGGAGAATTTAGCAATATTTGAAGTCTATCTAGTTTATTCATTTTAAATAACAAATATTTTTAAAAAATATTAAATTATTAAAAAAAATAACAATTACAGTATATAAAATATACTAATTTTGTATTGTTTTCATTCACATCCATTTATTAGTAAACACATTAAAAATAAAAAAATAAAATATATGTATGAAAATGTTCTTCTTTTTAACAAAATGTATAGAATATTTTGAGATTGTGCCAACAAAAATAAACACCAAAAGAATAATTTTATTTTAGTTTAATAAATGCATTTATAATAAAATATAGAATAGGAAATAGGGAAGGCGGGTGGTAAGGTAAGGGTATGCATACGTTTGATCGATAATAAATTTCGACATTTTTGCAATATGTACAATGTACATATATTTCTATATGAATGTATTAGTGTTGCATGTTTATACTTACAATGCTTTGGCATATAATCCATGGGGTATAGAAGCCATAACACCAGCGCCATCGCCAGTGTCATTATCACAGGCGCAAGCACCGCGATGATTCATCCGTTCTGACAAGGTCTGGGCATCACGAAGAATCTGGAAAGATATGTAAATGGAAAATGAATTTATGTTTATATTTTTATACCTAAACCTCGGTAACTAATTAAAACCTGATAAAAGGTTTTACAGTAGGTTTGACAAATCTTATTTTTGAAACCTATGCCATTTAATTGTGGAAAATTCTGACTTAATGGCACAAGGTAACAAAATTAACTATTTTGCGCGGCAGCCGATATCTTTCGATGAAAACGGCGCGCCCATAACCATCAAATATCTGATGTCGGAGTATATTTGGGACCAGTTCGACGATATCAATATGAGTTATATGTTATTAATATCATGTAATGATGTTCGCGAACGTCCACATCGTTCATACGACCTCTTTAGATTACTGGTCTTTGCTGATAACGTTATAAGAGCTGCAAACGAGCACGAAGTTATCTGGATCTTACTAATAGATCCTTTAATCTTAAACCCTTGAGAAACAGTTAGTCCTTTTCCCCAAAATAATAAAAAAAATGGACAGAGTTGGACAAAGACATTGTAATGGCTTGTACTTACTCAACAACTTACTTTTAAATGACTACTACCGTTTGCATTACTTAGAATGAGTCTAGTAATAACTTACATATAATATATTATGTAAGTACTTACTTAACAGACTTGACATATTGTTTTCGAACTTTGTTTTAACACAAAAAAAAAGTATTTAGTGGTTGTATCCACGTAGACAATTTTTTTCTTAGAAACAAAACTACTTACTTAACTCCCCATTTGCAGGCGATCATAGTAAGTTTTTACCTAACTCCCTATTTGTAAGCGAGCGTGGTAAGTACTTGTCTCCAATGTCACGACGGAATTTGACATTTTATTAAATTATTAAAAAAAATTTTGAAGAACTACGATTATTCTAGAAAATTTCATATGAATTTGGTAAAGCGCACCTATTTATAGACTGAGATTTATATGGACCTAACCATTTGATATTACAATATATAACGGTACACTCCCAGTTCCGTAGGGGGGCTTGAGTTAATTGTAAAGTGATTGTCGATTTTTTTATTTTATTCATTCAATTACAGAATCCCAGCCAAAAGCCATAATCGGTTCCAATAACACTTCTCGAATAGGCAACATTAAATTTATCTGACTGCGGCGGTTAGGATTATATAGGGTCTGAATTTGATTGAGAGATTTTGGTTTCAACCATTTTAAATTGGGATCGACTATGAGCACAAGAATGCATGGACACACTGGCAGCCAAATAGACAGCCGGACGGGTGTAGGACCAATATTTTTGGGTGTTACAAACATCAGCACAAATGCATAATACCCACCCCACTCTAGCGGTGTAGTATGTAAATACTGAGTCTCCGGTTAGTGTTCTAGTCTGTCTGACCGGGGATCGTGGGTTTGATTCCCTCCAGAAGCGCTCAACAGGCCCGATGAAGGTCTAGGATTTGTTGTAACATATATCCTATATTCAAACTAACTTAATAAAAATATGTACATTAGGGTCATCACTTTTATGCAATTTTCGAAATTTTCAAATTGGTTCTATCCTTTCCATATAGTAGAGTATTAAAAGGTACTTCGAAAAAGTACTTTTCCCGTTTAAAATGCTTTAAAGTTTTCGATATTTATTTTAAATTTTTTAATACAAAATAGGAAATTTTTGATATAAACAAGTGTCATTGCTTGACCCACGACATTTACATGGAGAAAAGGCAAGGATAGGGGTTGCGGTTTAGACCTTTTCTAAATTTAGTACCCTAACTTGTAGATAATAGGATTAAAAATACATGTATGTAAATTTGTTTGTGAATAGTTTTAGAAAATCGATTTGCCGCAGAAGGTTTTTGAACCAAAATGACCCGAGAAAAAAGTTGAAAACAAATTATCCCCAAAGCAATACGTGTTGCTATGTTTACAAAATTATATTAACTGAAAAACAGACGTCCACTTTGATATCTTGACCTACTTCGGTTACTCAGTTCTGTTTACAATAAATTTTTTCCTAAAAAGTTTTTACCCCCAAAAGCTAAATATTTTTTTGGCGGGATTTACAGATTCGCTTTGAAAAATGTTCCCTTAAGACAACATACCTTGTGAGAGCGTTTGCCATCGATGGCCACAATGAAACCAACGCCACATGCTTCATGCTCATTCTGAGGATCATAAAGTCCTTGTTTGCCTGGAGCTTCCCAGGGCATTTGCTTGCTAGTTGGCATAAATAATCCATCGGATTCGGCATTAGAAGATTCATTTTTAACATCAACAACATTTAAATTATTCACTTCGTTAACACTTTCTTCTTCTTTTTCGACAACAACAACAACACTTTCGTCATTCGTATAGTTGCCAACTGATGATGAGGAGGACGATGATGATGATGATGACGTTTCTTCTTCACTATAAAAAGTTTCACTAATTTGAGCAACGTTGGAAGTGTTCGTATTGGAATTATCAACAAATTCACATCCTGATTCGTTTAAATTGTCAGCAATTATTGGGGCCATTATATGGTTTTCAATAATACGGGGAAATTATTTTCTTTTTTCTTTAGTTTTATTTGACTCTTGTTTTTTTTTTTCTTTTGCTCGTTTGCACACTTTGTGTTGAAGGGTTTTTGAACTTGAATTTATTTTTTTTTTAATTTTCTTTAAGATTTTTTATTTTTCTTATATTTTCTTTAAATCTTCTGCTTCTGTTGTTTTTTCTCTAAGATTTCTTAACACTCAGTTTTGCTCGTGTTTTATATTATTTTTTTGATTCTATTGGGAAAAGAAATGAAAGAGGTTAGAAAATTATTAATAAATTTATTTTTTTTGGCGTTGTTAATAAAACAATTTTAAATGCTTTTTTGTTTTCTATGTATTGTATATTATTATTTAATTTTATTTTAATTAATTATTAACAAGAATATAAACAATTAAATGTTTGCACAAAATTGATATTTTATTTACTTTTCTTCTTCTTTTTATTGTCAAAATTTATAAAAAAAAAAATAATTATAATAATTAAATCACTTTCAAACACAGACACACAATTTTATTGTTCTTTTACTGATTGTGTTTTTGTTTAAAAAACGTAACGTATAGCGTTTTGTAACCGTTAATAGAACCGACTGCGACGAGTGACTCCCGTTGAATGAGCCAACTCTCGTTAAATAATTTGCACTATACCCCAACAATCCGCATGAAAAAAAAAAAACAGCAAAAACAACACAACAAACAATCATTCATACATTCGCAATTAAAATATAAATAAAATAAAAAAATTGTTTCTTCTCATTTTGCTGCCGTTGACTGATCGTGCGGTTTTCTATATTATCTTTAAAATACAACAACAATTTTTAAATGTATTTTATTTTCCCTCCTCTCTAAATGCAATTCGAAAATGCGTCGTTTGCAAAAAAAATTGCAAAATTCTCTATTAGAAATTGTTGTAATTCTTGTTGGAATCGTTCTCATTAAAGAGTTGCATTTAAAGGATTTCTCTTATTTTAGCACAGAGCATTAGCGTAACTGCAAGATCGCTTGAGAGATTTGTATGTAAATTTGTAAAAATTGAAAAAAAAAGTAATTGCAAAAAACTATTTAAACTGTCTATGTCTCTGTTTTACATTTAATTTTTTTTCTTCTTCTTTAATTCTTGTTCGTAAACGTGCTTGTTTTTTCATTGCATTTTATTTTTTATATGAAAAAAGCACGTTGTTTTTAAAATTAAACACATGTAATTTTAAATAAAATAAAACAGAAAAATTTTGTTCATTTTTTCTTTGCAAAAATATGTATTTCATCTGCTCTTGATTTTAAAAGAAAAATAAATATAAATCCATTAAAAATATTTAGTTAAATTTCAAATCGTAACTCATAGATCAAACAGACCTATTGTTATAATATATAGGGTTCTGAAATTACTATTCTAAAGATTAAGGGGGGACTATTGTGATAGAAAAACGAGACGAGATCCGTTTTTAGCTAACATGACTAGATATCAAGTATTTGACAGATATTTTACACGTTAATCTAGATGAGAAATAACCAATATTTCTATATATTTTTAATCAAAGACTCCCGCTTATATTCAGAAACCGGATTTTAATTTTAATGACTACATTTTCAATTACAATTACATTTGAAGTAATGGTAATTGAAGCTTTACAGATTACAATTATTTGTAAGAATTTCCAATTATAATTACTTATACCTAAATTACAATTACAAGTAATTTTAATTGGAAATTTCAATTACAAGTAATTGTAATTGGAAAAACTTCAATTGCAATTACAAGCAATTATAATTGGTTATTGTATCATTACACATCACATTGTAATTGAAAAGTTTTTAATTACAATTACAACTAATTGTAATTGGTTATTGCTCATTTACACATTACAAGTAATTGTAATTGACCATGTAATGAATTACTTTGTGTTATCATTACCCCCCATGACTGGCCATGACCGTCCATCTATATGTCTGTAATCAAGATGAGTATCACCTCCTAGAGTATAAATATCATTGGTCCATGATGTCACCTATACCTCATATAAGTGGTCCCTCGGATACAGCTTAAAAGGGTTATAAGTAAGTTCATTATAGAGTAGTCGTAAAAAAATAGTTTACAAGTTAGTTTTCTGCAACTTGAAATTACTTTCTAATGTATAGCGGATATCGGGCCATAATTAACACTACCCCCATACGAGGACCCCTTCTGAAAATCATATCAACGCTCTTAATTAGCTTAATAATACCAATATAGCGACGATATTGGGCATGAACAAGTTTTTTTGGAACAGATCTCTCTATCAAAGGTGGTTATGATCGGTCCATAATTAATCAAAATCCCCATATAAGGTTCCCTTTCAGATAATGGCTTTTGGCCCATAACTGGCTTTAAAATAAAAGTATTTTGAATGAAATTTGACAAAAACTAAACTAAAAACTAGTATAGGAACCAAAATCTCTATACGAAATTTTATGAGGATTGGTCCATAATCAAATTGCGGTTACAGTTCCATTTAACATTGGGATGTCATGGATGAGGACCGTGTAATCCACACATCCATTACATCAAATTAATCCCAAAACTACTTCCCTGAAAAATTTATTGGTTTACATGATCCAATTTAAAATTCACAACGTGGTTCTATGTAATGCCTGAATGGAACGTGTTGTTTTGAAAAAATTAAATTGGTCCTACAAAAAAGTTTTAATTTGTAATTGAATTTCAGTATAAGCGTTTTATTTAGTGGACCTACTCATACAAGCACCCTGAATATACATATATAATATAATCTTGTGGGTCTACGACCAAAATTTTGAATGACTGAATAATAACTTGAAAAAAAAAATAAAAAATTAATATAATTTCAATTTCTTCAATTCTTATAAAACGTTTATACAAAATTCTTGTTTAGGTTCAACTTCACTGCAAAAAAAAGCACCGCTTTCCGAGAAAATAAAACCTTGCTTGAGTTTAGACGTAAAAACCGCAATTTGAATATGTTATGAATATTAAATTATGTATTTGGAATTATACATTTTGCAGCGATGTATAAGAACTCTATTTACACCCTACTTTCCCAGCAAAATATTTGCTTACAAATTCACTAGAAAAATCACCAGAACTCATCGAGTAAAGTGCTTACAATTCTACTAGAAAAAGTACTTATTTTTGTTTGAGATGTTCCAAAAGTAAGTCAATATTATTTGATTGGAAATAAGTTGTTTTTTAGTAGAGTTATTTATAGAATATTTATGAAAAAATAAAAATAAAAAGTCGACACAGACTGGGGTTGCACTCAGTACCTTCCGTCTACCAGTTGAATGCTACTCTTACTACACCACTGCTTTGTTGTTTTATTGTGCGTCAAATAATAGTTTTCACACACAAATACTATTTTATTTTCTGTTTGTCTAAAAATAGAAATTTTTTATTTTGATTTTTTTTAGACTTTACCTACAAAAGTAAGTCATTAATGAAGTACTTAATGGTAATCATTGTAAGCAAAGATTTTGCTGGGTTCTACCTAATTGTGGGTATAATATTATGCATTAGTGTAGATATTAGTAACGCCAAAATCATATCGGAAGATTACCTTTCGAACAATCGACTTTTTGTCATAAGAAAATCAAAGTCCAATATTTAGTTGATAAATCTAATTTCAAAATTACACAAATTCGAAAAAATACTTTATATAAATTACAAAAAGTCGACTTTTATAATTAATTGTAAAATGTCGAAACGTCGACTTTTTATTTCTACTATAGAACCCTACCTTATCTAATAATAACAATTTCCCTTACAATTTAAATGGTTTTCAATCGGTTCTAAACTGAATTATTATGCAAACACAGGGCTTTACACTTCTTACTTTGAAGAATACTTTGAACCAATATTAGACACATTTTCAATATATTGGTCATCTCTACCCAGAAGTTCAGGGTGACAGCCGCGAACTACCTATTTAACCTATCACTTAGGGTTACCCCTAGACTAACCAGGTTACTTCCTTCCTAGAAGGAAGTCAATCGTCGTCCAGCACAATAAACCTTTTCGCTTAAGTTTTTTTTAAGAATCTACTCTCTTAATTACTTGGTGACAGCAAAGTGATGACTATCTTCACTCTCGTTTACAAATAGTACAGTACTAAAAACGAGTTAGAGCCAACCAAGTGGTTAGACGTTAGAGTGGAAATGTCTGTCATTTTCGAATATATTGTCTCTTTGTTGAACTGCTGGGTAACTTAAGTTATTTTCGTTTAAGGGGTCTGTAACCGACCGTGATTGTTTAATATGTATTTCAAAAGCGTGCTTTAAAATTGAATAATAACAATGCAGTTAGAAGTTGCCATGATTAATGATTATATAACATGCAAAATTCTGAAAAAAAAACAAAAACAAAATAAACCCAGCAGTTTTACATGTGCAATGTTTTTACCCACGTATTCAGTTTCTCGGGAAATGTTTATACAATTTTTAAGAATAAAGTTTCTGAACGAAATACCTAATATAACCCCGTACCAACTACTGTTTGGATTTCTAAAGACTTATGGGTCCAAACAGATGAGTAGTAAAACTGAAACGAGTATTTGTGAGTAAAATTGCAGAAGACTACTATATTTGTGATATCGGTTAGCTATGAATAACTTAAGGGCTTATTAAATCAGTTCGGGTATTGTCAATTACAATTACTTGTAATGTGTAATTGAGCAATAACAAATTACTATTACTTGTAATTGTTTTTCCAATTACATACTATTATTTGCAATGGGTAATTGACCAATAACCAATTACACTTACTTGTAATTATTTTTTACAATTATTACAATTACCTGCAATTGCAATTTCGTAATTACAAATAATTGTAATTCGCAAATTTTTAATTACAAGTAACTGTAATTGGTAAACTTCAATTACAATTACTTGAAATCTAATTGTAATTAAAAATGTAATCATTACCCCCCTATATGGCTTCTTAGATTTCATTCCTGTGTATATGTAGATTCTCTTAGTACATACATTAAGACCGCTTTCATTTAGGTAAGCATTTCGGAGTCGTCCTCCAGAACTGCTGAGATGTTTTCATGAGCCAATTGTAATTGCATGTCTTAAAGTATTAGCGCATATAAATTGTATAATAAAACAAATAGTAGAAAAAAGTATAAGTTAATATTTTGCAGTTTTTAATTAGTATCTATTGTTTTATTATCTATACATTGAAACTAATAAACTGAATATATGTTAAAATATAGACGAAAAACAAT